ATAGATAGATAGATAGATAGATAGATAGATAGATAGATAGATAGATAGATAGATAGATAGATAGATAGATAGGAGAGTGAGGGAGGAGGGAAGTTTGGCACAGACATATGAGGAAGAATTGAGAGAAATTTGTGGATCTACAAGAATAAGAATCATTTCCATATATACTATATGCTCTCTGCCTTTCTTGAACAAATCTCCATAGTCTAAACGTCTCTACATGCCCCCCCTCCCCAGCTTACCGTCCTTGTCGGGGCAGAACTCCCGGTGCACCCAGGCCGAGTCCCGGCCCCCGGCAGAGGCCCGGACCCGGAGCATGTAGATGCCCAGGTAGTGCAGGGAGCAGCCGGTCAGCTCACAGCTGCTGTCCGGCGAGTCGCCACACACCGTCACCCAGGAGGGGTTCCTCCTCCTCATCTTCAGCCGGTACTTCCTGGAGGGGGGGGGGCAGGATTCAGGAGTCTGGCTCCAGTCTGGCTCCAACCAACCCCCATCTAGCTCCAGTCTAACCCCTATCTGGCCCCAGTCTGGCTCCATTTTGGCCCCAGTCTGACCCCAGTCTGCCCCCCCCCCCCCCTTTCCAGTCTGGTGTGTGGGACTTACGCCACATATTGCGCGGTGAAGGTGACGTTGCCGGCTGGTGCTGAGCTCTGGTCCCAGTCCCAGCTCATGGTGTACCAGGTGTTCAGGGCCATCACCGTCAGGTTCCCGGGGGGGGGAAGCTCGCCTTCGGCTGCAAGAGAAACCCCCAAAGAATGAAACCCAGAGCCTCTGACCTGGTTCACGAGGCTGGATGGGGGGCGCCCGGTGTGCAAGGGCCTCCTGGAAACCGGGTTCTGGGCCGGAGCCCATTTAAATGGAAGCTGCTCTGGGATCAGAAAGGCTGAGGTCTGTATTAAAGCCAGACGTCAGGTGACCCTACCTGGTCGGGGGACTCTACCTGGTTGAGTGGCTACCTGGTCAGGTGTCTCTATCTGGTTGGGTGACCCTAATTGGTCAGGTGACCATACCCGGTCAGGTGACCAACCCCGGAACTCTCTCTCTGACTCACACCCCTGGTCCAGTGCCTGGCTGGAAGCAGCCGGGCCTCCATCCACAGGAGGTCTTTGTCTGGGAAGGCCTTTGATTTCCAGAAAGACAAAGTATGTGAGCAGAGCAGAGCGATGTGGGGCAGAAGGCGCCTGCAGAGCTAGTTTGTCTCAGCGTGCCTCTTCCTGTGGGCTCCACAGAAACCACAGCTCTCATGCACCAGACAAAGCAGAGCTCACAGCGGGCGGGGCCACGGGCTCAGATCTACAGGAGCCTTTTATCTGCCACCCCAGAACAGGAAGTGAAAACAGTGCTGCACGATTTGATGAAAAGGTGCGATTACAATATTACAAATGAAGGGTGTCAGGAGTCTGGGTGTTTGAATACCAGGACAACACAGAGAATTACAATCGTTTTGTATATTTTTCCAACTAAAAACAACAAACATGACACATAAAAATACAAAACCTGAACTTAACAGTACTGTATTAATGCCAGTAGTCAGATGACCATACCCGGTCAGGTGACCCTAATTGGTCAGGTGACTCTACACGGTCAGGTGACTCTACACGGTCAGGTGACCATACCTGGTCAGGTGACCATACCTGGTCGGGTGACACTGTCCTGTAATACTTTTGCTGATATTCGTCTATTTTCATGTAGGCTATGTTCAATGTCTGTATTTTTCTAAATGTTAGATAAAGAGTTTCTTTCTTTAAAGAGAGAATCCTGTTTACAGACATGAGTATTTGTTTGCATGACCCCGCTGGGATCTCAGATACCGTCTCTATCTTCCTCTGACTAACCGCAGAAATCGCTCTGACTCATACTCCTGGTCATGTGACTGGATCTGATTGGCTGATGCCTCCGATTTACAGTTTCTGTCATTAAAACTCGACGTGAAGCCTCTTCTGGATCCTGGATCTGACTCATCCTGTCTTCCCTTTATTTCGAATGCTTCAACTTAATGATGCAACAATGTTTTCCTCATCTATTTCATTGACTATGTGCAATAACCCGGTTATTGCAACTGTAGTTATTTAGACACTGAGCAGTTTTGTCAATACTGTTGATTGCAAAGTTTATCTATTTATTTTTTCTTCTGTAAATGGGTGAAAAAAAGAAGAATTTCCCACCAGGGATTAATAAATCCATTGTGATCTGACCCAGATTCATGGAGAGGCTCCTGTTCTAAGGCTGGGTGGACAGAGGGAAACATGACATTCAGGAGCAATGCCAAACAGGAAGTTATGACTAGAGTTTAATCAGAAGGAGCCCAGAAAAGAGGAAGGAGGGAGTGGAAAAAACCCTGAGGCCGAGTCCAGCTGCTCACAGCTGAAAACCCTCTGATACAGCAGCAGAGCCCGGAAAAATGGGGAAGTTGGCTTTAAAAAAAGAAAACAGGCCAACATGAAAGCTGTCTCACATGATGGAAACCAAGCTGACAAAAACAGGAAATGGTGGGAGGAGCCAGGCCTGGGAACTAAGAACTGGGCCTGAGAACTGGGCCCTGAGACCTGGGCCCTGAGACCTGGGCCCTGAGACCTGGGCCCTGAGACCTGGGCCCTGAGCCTGAGACCTGGGCCATGGGATCTGGGACCTGGGCCCTGAGACCTGGGCCCTGAGACCTGGGCCTGAGACCTGGGCCATGGGATCTGGGACCTGGGCCCTGAGAGACATTGGATTTGGGACCTGAGACCTGAGACCTGGGACCTGAGACCTGAGCCCTGGGCTTGAGACCTGGGACCTGGGACCTGAGACCTGGGATCTGGGACCAGAGACCTGAGACCTGGGACCAGAGACCTGAGCCCTGGGCTTGAGACCTGGGACCTGGGATCTGGGACCTGAGAACTGGGCCAGAGACCTGGGACAAGAGACCTGAGCCCTGGGCTTGCGACCTAGGACCTGAGACCTGGGATCTGGGACCTGAGACTTGGGACCTGGGACCTGGGCCTGAGACCTGTGCTTGAGACCTGGGACCAGAGAACTGAGACGTGGACCCAGAGACCTGGACCTGGACCTGAGACCTGAGAGACGGCTTACAGAAACACGGAAGGGAAGAATCCGCACGTGAGCCGTGTCTGTGGTTAGCACCCCCACCCCAGTGTAGCAGGGGGGATCCCCCCCCCCCCCCCCTCTGCGGGGCCTCGTGACAGCCCCGCTAATGGACCACAACACGGTCCGGCCTTACTTTCACTTTCCCTCTGGAGCCTTTCCAGAACAGGCCCAGACCTGAGCCCACAGGAGCGTGCGTGTTCAGTGGGTCCACGCACGTTTCTGTCTGGTGTCAAAGCTCCGCAGCTTTCTGCAGAAGCTCCGTCCGGAGGAGCTCCTCTCCCCGGCCCCCAGAGCTACGCTCCCCGGCCCCCGGAGCTACTCTCCCCGGCCCCCAGAGCTACGCTCCCCGGCCCCCGGAGCTCCTCTCCCCGGCCCCCGAAACTACTCTCCCCCGCCCTTCGGAGCTACTCTCCCCGGCCCCCCGGAGCTACTCTCCCCGGCCCCCCGGAGCTTCTCTCCCCGGCCCTTTGGAGCTACTCTCCCCGGCCCTTTGGAGCTACTCTCCCCGGCCCTTTGGAGCTACTCTCCCCGGCCCTCAGGAGCTACTCTCCCCGGCCCGCGGGGCGGCTCCGCTCCACTCCGCTCCGACTCCCGGAACTCACCGCGGCTGCTGGCCGCCCCCCCCAGCAGGAGGCAGGCGGACAGGAGGGCCCACATGGCGGAGGTCCGGCGGCAGGTCCTCAACAGACGGCGGGGCGGGAGGCGGCCGTGGCCCGGCCTCGGCCCGAACAGGTCCAGGGAGCTCCGGGGTTTGCTTCCATGTAGTCTCCTTCGCCTCTGGTTGCCTTCTTCTTCTTCTCCTCTAAAACGTGAAGACAGCTGGAACCCACAGTCGCTTTGCTGCCCCCTGCTGGACTCTCCCTCCATCGCCAGTCCCCGTTGGACAGTTTTGTCCTCATTCTCATGTCTGAACGTGCCTTTTACACACAAACCTGAGCTACTGGATTGTAGAAATTTTTACATCCAAAAGAGAGGCCTGATATCATGGTTTATAAGGGACAAGGAAAGGAATCCCCAGATGGAGGACTGAGGTTTTTCTGGAGACAATAAGGACACATTTCCAGAAACAGACATGATTTGTTTTGATATGTACAAGCAAGAAATAAAAAAATCAGATTGACATAATGTACACATGACAGCATTTTATCAGTAAAAACACACTCAACTGAAAATCCAACAGAAAAAAGGGACCAAATAAGAAATGTAGAAACGTGTGAAAGATCAAACAGATAAAAACGGGCTGGAGGGCAAAACAAAGAGTGAAAAGCAAAAGTGAAAGCAGAGAAACTGGGACGAAAGGGCACGTGCTGGGAAACTGTCCAGCTTGTAATGGATGGGGAATGATCAATACTTGTTTAAAATCTGGCTGTTCACAAATCAATATGAAGGAAATGGAATTAGACACCCCCCCTGTTCTGGACCAACATCTCTCTATGTGTCATCCTCTTAAAACATGATGGGACAGAGCAGCGTGGGAGTCAGAGGGCGTGAAGAAAAGTCTTTAGCAATGTGTGAGGCAAACTTTCTCAGTGATTAGAGAAGATTGATTTGGTCTAAAAAGCATTTTATTCCAAGGCGACATGTTGGAGGCAAACCCCAGTGAGGGGCCACCGCTTTATAAATAGTTCCACTTTTCCAGGAAAACCTCTCCCTCCATGGAATAACCCAGGACTCGGTATTCAGAAGTCGGGGTAAGACGGTAGGCTTGATTCTCTCCTCATGAGGTCTTGAAACTCCCTCCATCTTTGACCAGTGCACAATGTCTCACAGTGGCCCAACAACAGGGGTCCTCTGAGGCTGGCCCTGCCCATGTGGGTCACACTGGACCTGGACCAGGCCTGGGTCCACCTGTCCCTCCTCTCCAGTCCCCCAGCTGCTCCGGGCTGGACGTCTGGGCAGCAGCTGGATGGGGGTCGGTCTCTGTCCTCTCAGTTATTTCCCTGAGTGCGTCGCTTCCTTTAGGGGCCCCCTGCTGGCTCAGGAGGGGCCCACCCTCCGCTGTCCGGTCCGCAGATACAACGCTGACCTGGTGGTTGATCTCCTCCGGGGGCGTCAACTTCTGCATGGCTAAAAGCATGGTGGAACTGGGGGGGGCCAGCAGAAACTGGGGAGGAAACAGAGACTGGGAGTTAGAATAGATAGATAGATAGATAGATAGATAGATAGATAGATAGATAGATA